GACATCTCACACCGTGTCAGATTTTGGTTATTTTGGGGAGATCATATTGTTTGGTGGATGCAGTTTGAACCAGAGTAGCAGCATGGAGGTCGGATCGTCACCAATTTATGGTATTATTTCCACATATTTCTCTCCATTCTTCCTTCTGCCAACGGTGTCGCAGTTTCTCGTCCCTCCCGTTTTTGTGCTTAGTGCGTACACATGGGTCAGAGTTTGCGTGGAGGACCACACATTTTCCCGTTAAGTTTGTTTTTTATGAATCGCAAACATTGCTTAGAAACTGGCGTACGCCATCTTTTGAGCATACGCACCGTTTATAAATTAGGCCCCTGGTGACCTAGAGGTTTAAGGTGGAGATCAAGTTGTCAAAACATCTTTGATTTATGGCAATGGCGTTGTTAAATCAATCCATTCCTTTCACTCCTCTTTTCCTGTCCCCTTCTACTGTCCATGCATTAAATGAAGGAACATCCAAAACAAAATAATGGCAAAAATGCTTTAAAATTATCGCTCCCTGTTAGCTCATAAAGCTCACCACTCAACTGGCTGTCAAGCGTATTATGTTTAACCCACAACAGTCTTGGGCTTGTGGGAAATGTTGTTTGGTAAAGGTTTCTTAAACAAAATAATTAACAGTTTTTATACATCATTTTGTTAAGGTTTACCATCCCTGTCTAGACATATGGACTACACCACAAGAGAAGACTGAGACTGGTTTTGTTCCAGGGCTGGATTTTTGTCATTGGGTTTATTATAAATGTCAGTGTGATTTCCAATGAGGTTTTCTTACTTTTGTAACAGAAACCAGGATTTGGGCTCTCTATTCTGCAATGTGTTTTGTGACCAATCCACTCCAATAACATTTCTCATTGCTGCAACATAAAATTACTACCAAAGTAAGAAAATTGCAGGAGGAGAGATGAATGTGTCTCATGTTGTTTGGTTTTATTTACACTCAAGTCTAAACTACTTCCCAAAAACGCCAACTGTCCGGTCATTACACTCCCCACTGGGTGTTTTGGCACCTCTCCGCTGCAATTGCTGGCCAGAAGTGTACCAACACCTGGAAGTTCTCCTTTCAGAGTCATATCACCAATCGCCACCGCGCATTTCCCTCCCTCATATTACAAGTCCCACGGTTATGATTCAGACAGAGAGAGACGGCTTCACTCTCCTTGATGTGCAGTTGCTTAACTCCCTGTAGCAAAGCCTATGTTATTATCTCACCACATATTTTTCTTGCTTTCACTCCAGTTTGAAATAAGTAGAATTTCAACCTAATTATCAATCTAGTTCTTCTATGTCATTTATTCACTTAGAAAACCAACCTTCACAATAATAAACCCTCACAAAACTCTAGCTAAGATGTCTGGATTCTTGACCACTCACACCGTAACAAATTTAAACGTCATACAGTGGTCTAAATCTGTCCTTCCTGTCAGTTAAAAAACAGAGGGATTGTGTAAGGGAATAAAGGGAGGAATAAAGGGGTGAGAGGACGGTTGAGTAAGCTGAAATCTGAGCATGTGTTACAAAACTGCGAGCATTTTTTTCCCGGAATCCAGGGCCAGCCATGGGTGACATGCACAAACACATAAACGTGTCCCATGGTAATAGCTAGTTTGTGGTAACTGAATAACCAGCAGTTCAGTGAGGAAATGGATAAGTAGGTGAATGCAGTGTGTTTTAAGTAGGTGTGTGAATGTCTGCTGTCTCCGTCTATTTTTGTGCCTCTACCTGTCCCTTCTGTTGTTCTATTTCAGGCTCGCTCTGGAAGACTTCTCTCTGCCTCTCTCCCTTCTTCATTTTACATCCCAATAAAATCTATGAAACCCACCAGCTCCATATGCTGTGCAGGAAGGGTTATGCAACAGTAGGCTTGGACAAAATGTACCGCCATGAACATTTACTGGCTTTACTCTGCCTTCTACATCTTACACATATCACACGTATTCACGGGACTTGAACTAAAACTAAACAGTGACATTTCTTCCTTTCTTTATCCCTTTCTCAGGTGAATACACAGCATATGCCTGCTGTATCCATCAAATATCATTTTGTTAATTGCAAATATTAAATATGGTCTTCAGCAACCTTTCTTCCAGAGTAAGGATGAGACTATGAAAGAACTGATGTCATTAAACTGACTGATGGCAATATTTCACTATGCAATATTGTTGACGTAAAAAAAAGACTAAAATGTGGTTTATATTTTTGCAATTATCCCTTCATTTGTGTTGACAAAATGACAATTATTTTGTGTGAATGTTTATCTTTCAGTTCCAATTGCTGTGCTATGTATGCCTTATTATAAGGACATTTTGGCTACTGCAGATGAAATGAATTGTTCAATATAATACCATAACTAAATAATAATAAAAACACTTTTCATTCACTTAAAAAACATGGTAACAGTTTTCTTTGTCGAAGATAAACAATGCACAAAATATAAGTTAAATAAAACTATGATAAAAACTTACAAGGACATTTAGCAGGACTGGGACTAAAGAAAAAATGGCAGACAAAATTAACACTACAACAATTACTTAGGGTTTGTTATTGTCTCTTTCGTGAACCTCAGCTTGTCTGCCGTTTATATATTTTGTGTGTGATCTGCAACCCATCAATCAATCAGTATCCGCTCCTCAGGCTTCATGATGAGCGTGAAGACGTTACCGAATAGCTGTGACTCAGGTCTGTGGTGAAGTCATGGCTGTCTGACATCTGCCAATGTGTTTGCGAGTGAGAGGGTGAGGAAACAGAAGCCAAAACAAATTCCTCATCCTGTCTCACAGTGATGACATCAGAGCTATAGAATGTATCTGGCCCATGGCCCATGAAGAGCTGTCTGATAACAATGTACGGAGAAAGCAGTTCACAAGTGTGACTATGTACGCACAAGCACACACAGACACACACTTCCTGTCACTGGTGTCATGAACACCCTGCCTTCTTTGACGCCACTGTCGCAGCAAGATAAACATGTTCACAGATGTTTAAATGCTTGCACACTTTTGGTCTCACGAGGAAACAGTGACATGTACAATAATACACCACTGACATGATCACAGTAGCATTTATGATTCCTGCACTTTGTTTATTTTTATCGGTTTGAAATTATCTTCTGATCCAAATCAGATCAAAGCATAAAACAGATATAAAACAGACCCTTTTTTATGCATGTGCCAATCAGGGCATGGAAGTGCGTGTAAGGAAAATGTTGAGAGGAGCTGTTTGTTATTATCTTGTCATCAAAGGGGAGGGGTGTGCAATGTGTTGTTGGTGGGAAATCTAACAGAGCTGTGTCA